CCCATTGGTTTATCTCGTACCGTCTAATTTTCTGACATTTAAACCAACCAGCCAGAGTTGTCCCGCTTCACCTCTGTGTTTAACCTTTCGGGGTTAACGGTGTTAGTTCAACAATTAGTGCAACAATTTTCCCACGCTGCATTGTTGCTGCAATCCTTTTTATTAATCAGCGGCAGGTGTTCCCTTCACAGCTGGTTAGCTGGTGCTGATGTGAAAAGCTGTCACGCTTCATTGTGTGCTGCAGTTTTGCAGGTCTGGGACAGACTTTCTGTGTTCTGGTTACATCACATAGTTCAAGTGCCACAGTTGGGTCAATGAGCGCCTATTACTACGCCTCCATACACTTGTTGCAATTGTATTATCTTAGTGTAACAAAATGTATTAAATGTCTTTTTTTACTCATGTAATTGGTCTTTTTCTTTCAATCATTAGCTTTTTAACAGTGGTTCAAACTAGTCTTTCATCTTGTAGCTTTTGATTTATACAACATAAAGTCGACTTTGAAGATCCAAAACATTTCAACGACAAATAAGACAAAAATTGACCACTTCCTTTTTAATCAATCTAAGGAAGCCAGCAGATTGTGAATCTTCACTTCCTTACAGCCTCCTACCTCTAACTGTGTGATGTTAGATAGTCTATTAATTAAAAGATTTTGTGGGCAAACAAATTTCATGATTTAACAACTGCAAAACAGGAAATGACACAACACATCTGACTGTGAACGTCACATTGTTTTTGACAAAATCATTGACAAAAAAAATAAACTTTTTTCACTATTTTCAATTTTTTTTTTGAGAAATACCTATAAATCCAGAATACAAATCCACAAAACAATAAATTCACCAACAAATGCCAATGAAGTCAGAGCAGTCTTCCGAATACTTACAGGCTGGACAAGCACACCAGATACTCATTTGGATCAGGATGAGATGCAGGATGGGTTCAGAAACAAACTTCTCAACTAAAAATCTTATTGTTAAGCAAAACAAAGAAATATAAAAATGCTAGTAACAAGTTAGGTGTGTAGTGTTTAATGGCCTGTGCAAAACACACACACACACAAACACATGTTGTGTACTCCTATCTTCATGATGTAGCATTGACTTCACAACAGCCCAACACTGACCCTTTACCCTACACCAAACCACACCAGTACACACAGTCACTAACCTTAACCCCCAACCCACCAATGGCATTTGTCCCCATTTGGATGGTTCCCATATGAGCAGCTGGTCCCCACAAGTACATAATACCTACCAATACGTACACACAGACAACTCTAACCATGCAAAAAAAAAAAAAACATTCAACTGAGACACTGTTCTTGCTGAAAATCAGTATTTTCTAAAATATTTGGGCTTTAGTATGCTGGCTTATGGAATGCTACAATTTGTCCATTCATTGGTTGTCATACATGAAGGAGTAATACAACTTGTCTCTTACAAAGCAACAATATAAAACAGCAATAAACTATAACTTTTGTCTCAAATTTATTAGATTTTTTTTACTTTACTTCTCTGTAATATCAGCTCTCTGAAACATGATCTGTACATACAAGAATTTAAACACAATAACAAAGCAACTATGGTGAAAAATGTTTAAGTGCAAACATACTCTGCTAAATTACACACTCTTCAAGTAAGTTACAGAATATACTGTTCCTTCCTTTAAATAAATTCCACATGTTTCCAGTTTATAAGTGTTTCGACCACAAGGAAGGCTAAAAATACAGCGGGCAGCCATTACGTTTAGGTGCTGATGCAGCATGCACACATCAATGGTTGTGCAAAGCATCCACAGTGGCAACATTTTCACTGATGTGTTTGAATAAGACATGATGCAAGTTTATTTTTGTAACATTCCCCATCAACGGGCGTTGGCAGGCAGCAGGTTCTGTAATACCAGCAAAAAAAGGAAAAAAGGTCTTTGTCTGTGACGTACGGATTATAACAAATTAAGAACATTATATAAGAGAATATATGAAACATTAATCATTTCAGCACAGCAGGGAAAAACTAGGAAAATAATCCTTATGAATGCTCAGTGGTGTGCAGCTAAATAAATCCTACATATGTTTGCCACTTTATGCATATTTAATATATCACTGACACATATGCAACTTTGGGTGTTTAAAGTAAAAATAAAAAATGAAGATTTTAGTTACTAGTTTGAATCATACTGTATGTCTCCTGTTTTACTGGAGTTTTTTAAGCTCCTTCTTTATCTCTCTGTCTTGACTTCAACTGTCAAAAACGACTGTTGAGAATCAGCCTTAACACAACACATTTACATAAAACTTCATCACTAACTAATAAAGTCAAGATTGTCTGCTTGTTACCATATTATCATGAATCACTGGATGGATTTTAGTTAAACTCTTGAAATTTTGACCTTGTTTCAAGATGGCAGCCATGGACAGCCATCACCTTAACCAACACAAAACTTTACACAAAACAGTCAGCTTTAGTGATTTTGAGTGAAATTTTGTGTGTTAGTAGCTGAAGATCCTTAACTCATTCACTGAACACAGTATATCACATGAGATCCATTAWATTGTCATTAACATGCCGTTGAAAAGCYTCTTTATTTTMCTTTTAAATGGTGCCACATTTGTAAATAACATGAGTATGTGGGTTGCGCACATGAAAAATTTACCAAATCTTCATTGTTATACAGCTTATTTTGTTGTTACTGTTRACAAGTGTTTTGAGCTGCCCTCATGTGCCTATTAGGCACCTGATTGGCGATCTCATACCTCCACAGTCTGGAAATGAACTCTATCCTATGAGATGACAACACTCGTTTCCACAGAATATGGTTTATCAGAGACCACCTCCAGAATTTAGGAGTAGAGAGGAYGGAATGGTCTGCCAGCTGTCCTGACATCAACCCCATTGAAGACTTGTAGATCAGCTCAGGCRTGCTGTCCGTACCCTAGAGAGTAACACAACCACGTTGGCTGATGCAATAAATGCTGGTTGAAGAATGGGATACCATCCCACAGCAGTGTGCTACCAAACTGGTGACCAGCATGAGGAAGGGGTATAGGCTGTTGTGGTTGTGTATGGTTCTTCCACAGGCTACTGAACACAGAAGAAACAACACTGAACACTGCCACAGAAGCTACTGTTTGTTAAATGAATAAATTGTTAAATGACCAATTTGCCTTGTTTCTTCAAACATCAATCATCTAGTCCACCAAACACCAAACAAACAATGGCAGAATGAACTGTTTAGCAATGAGAGGATTTGACTTTTTTTCATGTGTGCGACCCGCATATAGGCTCTACTGCTCATCCCACAGATGCATGTTCCTTACACATGTGGCACCATTTAAAGGGAAATTAACAGACTTTCCAACTGTATAAGATTTATTGCCAAGAAGCAATGGGCCTCATGCAAGAACCGTTCGTACGCACAGATTTGTTCTTAAGTTGTGCGTACGAGTGATTTAGGAGAATTTGTGGCATTCACCAATGTTTTCGTATTCTAHGATTTTTTTCAGATACGAACAAAATTYACGAGTGGTCCAGACCTGTCGTATATTTTACGAGCAGTCAGTCTGCTGTTATCCAGACGGGTTTTCTTCATTAATAACTTTATATTTAGTTTAGTTTGAAAATATTTTGAGTTGAAAATAAATCGCACTCCATAATTATGTTGACAATAAGTTATTCTGCTTGAATTAGAGTTATAATTTTAAATGTAATAATTTAGACTAACAATATAAATTGTCCGTCCGTCCGGCTTACCCGCTATCGGGTGCGGGGGCAGCAGGAGAGAGACCCCGCTCTCCCCAGCGACACCTTCCAGCTCGTCCTGGGGGACTCCGAGTCGTTCCCAGATCAGAGGGGATACATAATCCCTCCAGCAAGTCCTGGGTTTTCTCCAAAGTGCCAGACTTATTTTGAAAACATTTTATTATTTATAATTAATATAATTATTTACTTATTTCAAACCCGCATCTGAGACCACCTGCGACCGGGGGGGGGGGGGCGGGGGGGCAGCCGGGGGTTTTCGAAATAAATTAAAAAGTTTTAACACAGTTGTTTATACTTTTAGCAGCTCTTTTTATTCCACAGCTGACCTGCTAAAAATGACAGATTTTCTTTTCTGGATCTCTGACAGCAGGACTTCAATCTCTGAACTCGTAAAGTTTTTCTTTTTAGTTTTCGCTGTCATTTTCATGAATGAACACTTGTATCTGAGGCAGGAAACACAGCCTTATATGGTGTTTTTGGGGTGGTAATTATGCTAATCTCCTCTCRCGTGCACGAGCAGCTGGATACGAACAGGTGGAATTTACGCAGCTCATTTACACACTTTTCCTGAAGATAGAAGAGTTTGTTGAATCTGACGTGACATGTTCGTACGAACCCTTCGTACGAACAAAAGTAAGAGAAATTTAGGATAAGAATACGAACATGTTCTTGCATTAGGCCCATTGTTACAACAAAGAAATAATCTACCAAACATAAATTTCCTTATGTTTCGTGCTAAGTTTCTGTAGACATTTTGTTCTGTATATTTGTTATTTTTGCTGCTACCTTTAGCAATAAAACTCATACAAAACATTTGGGAATTATTTTACACCAGCTACCCTTCCTGACATAATCTGGGCTTGAACCTGCAGYCTCAGGGTCATGACACAACAACACTGAACAACTGCAGCCTCCCTTGTACAGTGTAGGTCCTCTTTGTGTGTTTGCTCTTTCCTTCATACAATATATTTTCCTCCCAACCTCGTCAGCCCCTTTTTGTTTGACTTTCTGTCAGTAATTAAAGTCTTGTTGTTTTTTTGCTCTCTTCAGGTGGCTCCTCCATCTCYACCACTCCCACCTCGTTTCATTAAAGTGTTTAACTGTTAGATGTTCTCAAAGCTGCTGCTGACAGTCATTAAATAACTCAGGCTGTAGTGAAAAAGGGCTGCGGGATAGAAACAAATCACAATTTGTCATCCACTTTAGTATATTAACCACAAGTGTCTCACCTTCCAGGTCTGGACTCGGACTGACATGTTTGTGTGAGGCTTGAGAGGAAGACCAACAGGAAATGGTGACGTGTCATGGAGAAAATCACTGCTAGGTAGCCCATCCAGCATGCAGCGTTGCCTTCGCAGCTGTGCATCCCCCTGTGGAGCCATGAACCAGTTCTAACTGTGGGTGAGTCTTTAAAACTCACRTCCTCTTAATAACATGTGGCCCAAGCGTTTGTTCTGTTTGTCTCACATTTTAAACAGTAGGATGCATTGTCTGGTAATCAAGAGGAGGATATTTTGTGGTTCAGAAGCTTAAAATGTGAAAATAATGGCAACTGCGAAGTTAAAACGGATTTCATAAAACGTGAAAACTTAAATTGATGATTTTTATGATTGAACAAATTTTGTCAAAAATTACAGCCCCCCCACCCCCCACCCCCCCCACACACAATTTCTTTGTAAACTTCATCTCACTGTTCAGGCAGAAAACATATTGTTTTGCAACACATTTATTTTTAAACAGCACCAAAACGTGACGTCCACAGGCTTGAGCATTAATAGCATTTTTTGCATTGACTGGTATAATTGGTCTGTACGATTACGTTTAGCCTCAAGTCCTCAGCGACGGGAGCAGGGCCGCTGGGGAAAACACGATGACTTGTTTCAGCTCGTAAAATTGAATGAATCTGCCGAGCACCTGTGGCTACGTTACRTCTCCTTCCTCCTTTAGTTTAATTGGGCTGATCAGTTCATAACAGCATTCTTCCAGTTACGGCTTGGCACCTTTCCAAAAGCCTGTTAAGAAGGAGGAGGGGGCGGGGCCTGGGAGAGATGAGTCTGTAATTCTATGTRAATAAGCTACAGCGAGCATGGAGGGGACATTTCACCTCGTCTGCCCCTCCGTTTGTGTCTGCTCATCCAGGTTTGGGAGGATCAGCAGTTGTTTTATTTTTCATGCACCTCATTAAGCACCTCCTGGTGGAGTCTGAGATGGGCCCTATCAAACAAACAAGAGTCTTAATGTGAGTTTTTGGGCATTTAGTGAGAGGGGGTCAGGTGGAAGAGACCCTGGAGAAGTGCAGATRAGCTCCAGAGGGAAGATAAAAAAAATTCAGTAGAAGCGAGACAGAGTCTTTGTGAGTTAATGAAAGAGTGGCTCAAGTTTGTAAAAAAATGGGTAAATTTACAGTTAATTTGGAATGTTTGCAGCACTTTTGAAAGTTGTAGCCTATTTTTGTGTGCACAGCTTGGAGAAATATTCTACGTCATTTCTTAGCTCACGTCGTACCCACCCTGGCAGCCAGAGGGTCTTCGGGATGGGATCCAAAAAAGAATCCATTACTGTACTGTTACATCACTTACAGCAAATATTTTTTTGAAGATTTGTAATTTTACCAAGTACTTTCTAATTGTAACTTTTTTGTTTTATTTTGTTACATTCAAAACATAAAATTAATGCTTTTACTTTTTCACTTTAAAATTAAAATCCTACACTCTAAAAAACTAATGTTAAATTTATTTAACTAACTTATGTCAACTGGTTCCACAAACCGAGTTGAGTAAATGTAAAGCAATTTACTCAACTCGATTTAATGGAACCAATTTGCTTAAGTAAATTTATTTTTATTTTATTTTTTACTTAAATTTACTTTATTTCTCAGAGTATGTGTAAAGGTACTTTTATTTATTGTTTACCTACGATTCTGAGCAGTTTTATACTTTTCTTTTTGGTGAAATACATTTTTATCAAAGGTATTTTAACAATATTTTTCCTTGCACTTGTTCATTTTAAGTACTTAGTATACCTCTGAAAACATCCCTGGTTGATTGCAACACTTTTATCATGTGCTTCGTTAAATAAATGGGGTAACTCTCTAAAGAACTTTTAAAGTGAGAAATAAAATTTAAGAATCTATCCGAAATAAGGGCTCAAAGTTAGTGTTCACACTTCTGAAGCGGTGTGACCCAGAAACTGTTTGAAAASTGGGCCTTTCATCAGATGTTGTGCTGTAACATTTTTTCGTTCTGCCTCAGCGGAGAGGCAGAGCTGCGTGCTGCCATGGCAACTCGACCGTTGTGCTCAAAGATATACGTGTGCGGTTGTGCCTCAGGTGCTCAGAAACTTTCCTACTATTTTCGTCTCATTCATATAAATGCATGTAAAACCCTGTTTTTCAGCAGTTTGGCTTTAAAGAGGATCTGATGAGCACAGTTCCAAACCTCAAGTTTAACACYACTTACACATTTTATCTAAACTGTATTTTAGTTTAACCATAAAGAAACTAATGCCCCTCTTAAACTGAAAGTCTGAGTTTTCATCGAGCCTGGCTAACAGATAACTTATCACCTGCTGCGGAGCCAATAGATGATTTGACTTTAGGATCAAACTGACCTGCAACTGTTCACCATTCCCACTTTTTATATAATAATTCAGGAAGAAAAATCAAACTGAAACATTTATATACTGAATGTCATCATAGATCTGCTGTAACATTTAAATAAACATCAGATAGTTTAATAACAGCATTAAAAATCATAGGTAATGCTTTCTTTTATGGTGCTCTTATTTCCATGTAATTACAAGATAATAAAAATGTAATTACTACCTTATTACCATGTAATTACGTGGTGATTACGGTACAAAAGAAAAACTTGTTAGTAAAACTACCTTTATTAGGAAACTACAATCAAATTACTATTCAATAGTAACTCAGCGCTATATTTATAAGCAATAGAATGCAACTAAATTTTGGGGTTAGTRGTTAATTGCAGTTAAATGTAACTTTAAAAATGACCAAATTGCCTACTACTTATTTAGGTGTTACATAGTGAATTAYAATACATTATCAGGTAAGTGCTACATTGCTGCATACAATTACATAGGAAATTTGTACCCAACCCATATTACCTCGTAATTACATGGTAATAAGGTAGTAATTACATTTAATTAGGTTTTTATTACCTTGTAATTACATGGTAATAAGGGTACTGTAAAAGAAAGCTTTATAAAATCATAAACAGAGGCAATAATGATGTTGCCATTTTATTTGTCTTATTTACACACAAAACCACAAACACTGAAGTTTTTTATTATTACTAATAACCCCCGTGAAAGTCACGATTTTCACGGGGGTTATGTTCTTATAATACCTACGAATTGTGAAACATTGCAAAAATTGGATGCAGTCCAGAAATGACCTATGCGTTTGGGGTGGCATCTGCAGTAAGAACTGAACAAAAGCACATGAGAGCCAAGCATGGGCGACGTGTGAGCACAGGGCATACGTCACATGCTGTACTGTTTTGTTTGTTTTTTACAGAAATTAATTTACGTTAATATTTGTTACAAAATTACGAAGTAAATTATATTATTTTTTTAATAACTTAGCTTGAAATTTTACAAAGAAGCACAAGAGAGAAAATGTTTATTATTGTGCCATATATCTGGTTCCTGCGATATCACAGGGATTACGGCAAACTGCTTGTAGCAAGTTTCGATAATATATGTGAAAGACTGAGTTTTTCTTTTAAAAAACTGTGAAACGTGACTTTGYGGGATATCACTGTGATCTATTAAATTAGACTGCATGGGTTCTAATTTCACCCACTTTGGATATTATCAGTCCATTAAATGGACGTTTTTAGAGGTTATCAGTCCCATAGAATGGCTTCAGACTGTCCCGACTGTGCCCCCTAGTGGGTTATCAGTCCCATAGAATGGCTTCAGACTGTCCCAACTGTGCCCTCTAGTGGGTTATCAGTCCCATAGAATGGCTTCAGACTGTCAGGTATGGGCATAAAGCCACCAAGGTTGATTTTAGAAAAAAATGACCTGGGCTAGGTTAAAGTAGGCGAAGCCTGGCAGATTGTTGCCTTCCAACATATTAGTAGGTACACAGTCTGAAGCCATTCTATGGGACTGATAACCGCTGATAACATCCATTTAATGGGCTGCTAATTTAAAGTTAGATTGTCCTGTTGGACAAGGACTCTTTCATTTAATTATTTTTAATAAACTAGCATAATTTTCAGAATAGGAAAAACTGCTTGGAAACTTTCAAAGTTGGTCTGAGAGGAGACATTTTCAGTGTTATCTAAGAAACCTTTTTTAACAACGGGTCTGAACAGCCGCTGTGTGGAGCTGCTGTCTGACCAGTTAGTTATAAACTTCTACACATAAGGGATTTCATTTGTCTAATCGATCCTGTTGCTTCAATAGGAACACAATAAGCCAAGGTTGAAAGAGTTCATGTTTACCAGGATAACAAGGTTCTAGGTTGTATTAAGGCCATGTTGACCCCATGACAGCAAAGGGGTTTAAAAATATTATAATAAAAATATTCAAAACCAAACAAACACACTGAAGATGTGCTCTTAGTTTAATAAAGTCTTTAAAAAATGGAAAAAACTGTTTCCCCAATGACTGTTCCAACAATAAAAGTAAAAACTCTACTTTATTTTTTAAACATTTGTTGTTGTAAAAGCCAGTGTCTGCTAATGACCATGCAGCTCATCTGTTTGAATTGTTCATAAAGTCTAAATAATTCAAGTATGATACAAASTTATAGAAAGTGGACATGGTTTTTATAAGGTTGAAAACATTCATTCTGAGGTTTGAGATCTGCAAACCACTGCATTCTGATTTTATTCACATTTTACATAATATACCGACTTTTTACAAGTTGTGGTTGTGAAAAAAACCTATCTAAACCAAACAATCAGTCCGGTCTGGTAACTTTAATAACTCTTATTGGTCAGTAACTAGTATCAGCACTGGTCATTAAATCACAACCTTAACTTCAGCTCGTTGAACTGACAAAGACCCAATAATGATTTTTCTGTATCAACATTACAGCTGTTTTCTCTGAGTTTCTTACAGTGATTTTAACTGATTGTGTTATGACGTGATGAATAACAGATTTTTTTTTTTCTTCAGGTAATGCCGAGCCAAACAACCAGTCCCGGACATGCCGAAGAGAAGAGACATTCTTGCCATCGTGTTGATTGTATTACCCTGGACTCTGCTCATCACTGTTTGGCACCAAAGCGCTCTCGCTCCACTTCTCGCTATCCGCAAGGGTAGGCAGCACACTGCACTCCACACAGCAATATCAGACCTGAAGTGGGTCCTTGAACCTAACACGGCACTTCAGTTATAGACAACAAGCGGGGCTCATGTAGAGGTACTCACAAGTCGTGACCACAAGTTTCATCAGAGCTCAACACCACTTGTCCAGCGACTGCAAACCTCATCATGGCGGACGACTGAAAAGCCACCGCCACACACCTGSTTTCATTTATTACTTTTATTTCATTAACTCAGTCTGTGCGTTAAATAACTAAGYGGATTTACTCTTCCTGCTGATAAAAACTTGCCCACTGCAGCAGCTTTAAAAACAATGTCCTCTCGCACATTAACCGCCCACACGCCTCGACACACAGATCCATAAATAACAAATGTGTCTTTTGGTTCAGCTTGGCAGAACACCCTGCATCCATACCRTGTCTGCACTCCAGCCTGAGTCATTAATACACGCTGAGGCTCCCAACAATCTTCAGAGACCATAAACGAACCGCGTAAAATGTCAAGTGTGCAGCAGAGTAAACATCCAAATTAGAGCGAGCGGAGTCAATGAAGCTGTTTGCACTCGTCTGGTGGCRTCACAAGGCCACACGCAGGGATTAACCGACACACCAGACGTATTCAAATGATCCAGGGCAGCTTGAGCAGAWGATCATTTGCAGATTATTTCAAGTCATTTGTTGTTTTGCAGATTTTCAAGGAACACTCAGGCTGCAGCTGTTTGATTAGCTATCTGCTGGATGGCACTGAAACTAAAATGAACAATTAAGATATGTTTATCAGTCGTGTGGAAAAGGTGTTCACAGTTCTGAACTACTACTACTACTGCTACTACTACTATTACTATTACTATTACTGATTACTATATCAGCTATCATGAAGACACAATAAGTAGGATAATAATTTAAAGTACATTTTTTTGACATTGCTAGGGATGTTTTGTGTTCTTGTACAATTTTTTTTTCTGGGGGTGGGGCAGTATGCTCCTCCACTGCTTCTCTTGAACACCTGGCTATCAGCACTTTGTGTTAATCTTTGTACTGCAGAAAAATCCATTTTTTCAAATAAGTGAGAATGGAGCTTGAGCAGGGCTGTGACAAAGACCACCATTAGCTGTGGCACAATGAACAGAARTGAACAACCTGGAATATTCTGTGATCACGTCCGGTCCATCGTGACCACAATGTATGGATGTCCACCCTTTTCAGCCTTCACCAGTCCACCCAAAGTGTGGACATTCATCACGGTTTTCACCAAAAAGGTGATGTTTTTTCTAAATGAGCACAGAGTTTTTATGGTATATCATTTTTAGTTATATTTAAAAAATCTTAAAAGCATACCGGTAGCTGAGACCAATCTCTATCACATGTAAATAATTAATCCAAGATGGCCACTGAAGCCCAATTCAATGGCTTAAATTTGGTCATTTCTGACACATTGAGCTATAAATTGGTATATTGGCAACTGGGAGCAATCCCCATAAAATACTGAATCTAATTAAATAAYTGAAGATGGCCACCAAAGCTAAAATGTAAAACTGATCATTACTCCGCCATTTTTAGAGGTAGTAGGCTGAAATTTGGCGTGGTGAAAGCCTTCAAACAATTTTCATCACATACTGAATCCATATCAAAAATCCAAGATGGCCACCAAAAAAGGAATACATCACTGTAACTCAGTCATTTTTAGACACGTTGAGGGTAAATTTGGTACAGTGGTAGCTGACAGAGATCTGTAGCAGATAGTAAAGCCAAATCTTAAATTTAAAATGGACGCCATGAGGCAAGCCCCTTCATAGTTACTCCAGGAAGTGATGCTAAAACTGTCAGGTTGAAAGATGCCCAGAGCTTCTTCCACTTCAGCGGAGTGATTAGCATGTTTTCATTCAATCTAGTTTTCTAAATGTGGCGACACAATCTTCTGCTCTGAGGACCCCTTCTCCTTGGTTTTGTGTGCAATGAAAGTTATGTTGTTTCAAGACATTTTTCCTGCAAGTTCAAACTTTTCAGTAATATTTTGTACATATGATGAAAGAACAAACACTGTGACAACACTGTCTTTTTGGTGATATCAACCTGGTTGCAGAGATCTGCTGTATTTCTTGTTAAAGGTTTTGGTAACTTTTTCATTTTAACCAAAATAAACCAAATCAGTGACATTGTATGTATTTGTCACATCTTCCACAGTTGTGCAAAAAACAAGATTTTTTTTCAGTCCAGCTTAATAAAAAATACCTAGAGCCAGGGTATTATCTGCTCCAATATGACCAGTTAACAGATTTTGGACTGATGGTTCTCAAGTGGAAACGGTTTTACTCATCACGCAATACTAATGTTTATAGAACATCTACAAGAAATCTGCCACACTTTTCTCTACCACTGTTTAAAACAAGCACAAGCCAAAAAAATATGGAATGTATAATAAAAAGCCAAAGTTACTTTACAAAAAAAAGGCAGGAAAAAATAATTAAAATTCCATGTAATGAGCACGTTTAGTTTAGAACTATAAAGTTAGCTAGTGCTTAGTCTGTCTTGGTTTAGTTCTATCATTTCAGAGTACATTTGTAAAAGAAAAACAAACAAATAGTAATCAGATRGTTTTCTGATGTTTTAGCTGCCACAGTTTCAAAATCAGCATAATGACTGTCAGCATTTGTCATCTTCTGTGCTTCATAATACAAAAAGAAATATGAATAAATATGATTAAATTAAAAACTACATATTTATATTTGCAAAATTATCAACAWGTTTGTAGCAATATTACATAAAACAGTTGAATTTGTTTTTAGAATGTAAGACTTTAGTATTTTTGCTCAAGGTTTTGCGATCATAACATTATGTATATTCCAGTAATATATAAAGGCCCAAGTCTTACTGGAATGAAGAAAAACAATATATTCTTGGAAACTTAGGATAAATATTATAACTGTTACCTCGTTACAAAGTTTTATACAGAAAAGAAAGGGGGGGGGGAGCACACAGACAAAACCCTCTAACGTTATTGGAATGACTCAGAGCTTTTTGGTATYAGACTTCTAAATACATTTCTGCCTGCGTTCTGTAAAAGCCAAYCTTGTAAATATTTAAAACTTACAAAATGATTTATTTCCAACTTTAGACATTACTTATATAATCTATTTATAGTTTTAATACTTTACATTTGGTGAGGGTTTGCAGTGCACTATGAAGCAGGGGTTCTCAGCCCAACAGTTATGCAGGTGAGTGTGGAGCCAACAATGGGTCGTGGGTCTTTGTTGGGAAAAAAACAATACAAATCTACAAATCAATGTTCTGATTATTATGTCAGATTTACGCTTAGAGCTTGAATAAGTGATTGAACACATTTAATAATAATTGTTTGTTATAGATGGGTGAAAAGCYAAGCTTTATTTAGAATCTTTTACTTCCTGGTCTCCGAACTAACTTAATTTACTAATATTGCCACGTGATTTTTGTTTTGTTTAATCTATAAACTAGTTTTTTATTTTATTTTTTGCATTGGCATATTGTAATATTCTATTCTACTACCTCAGGTTACAACAACTCCATCTTCTCATTCAGTTAATTTGAGAAGTTGAAAATAGTCTTTAATTTTCGTTACAAAATGATGCCATTAAAGGTTTATGTTGGGTCTCAAAGCCAGACCAGGTGAGCACAACTATTATAAAAAAAAAAAAAGCAGGTGTGAATGTAACAAATAGGGGGAGTCTGTGGTGGATTTGGACAAAATGCAATTCAGGCAACTCTACATTTGTTTTATTTTCTTATACAAAAAGAAAAACCCAAATGCTTTGGGAGTAGATGAGCTCATCTTTCCCCTCTCTCGTGTTGCGCTGTCTTCCTGTCCGTCAGCTGTGTTGTCCTCTCACGGTGCCTGCTTTCACTTTTCGCAGCCTGTCACCACCTAGTAAAAGAGATCTTTATCATTCCAGAGAGGTCCGCAGTCCACCACCACCGACTCTCAGGTACACTTTACCCCCATTGGGTTTAAGTTGCCTGAGGCAAATTTACAAAGAGCAGCTCAAGGTTGCGCTAATGCCTTACGTTCCTTCTTATCCCCCGTATCTGCAGATGACGGTGCCGAGGGCAAGAGGGAGGCGGGAGGTCAGGACTCCAAAGAATACTGTGCCTCGGATAAGGACATTGTGGAAGTGGTGAGGACGGAGTACGTGTACACTCGGCCTCCRCCCTGGTCCGACGTGCTGCCCACCATCCACATCATCACTCCCACGTACAGCCGACCCGTGCAGAAGGCGGAGCTGACGAGGCTCGCCAACACTTTCCTTCATGTCCCCAACCTGCACTGGATCCTGGTGGAGGACTCCCAGAGGAGAACGCCTCTCGTTACCCGACTCCTCCGAGAGACGGGGCTGAACTACACCCACCTCAACGTGGAGACGCCCAGGAACTACAAGCTGCGAGGTGACACTCGCGACCCCAGAATCCCCAGAGGGACCATGCAGAGAAATCTGGCCCTGCGGTGGCTGAGGGAGACTTTCAACCCCAACAGCAGCCAAGCCGGAATCGTCTACTTCGCTGATGAYGACAACACGTACAGCCTGGAGCTGTTTGAGGAGGTCAGTACAGGGAGTCCTCGGATGCATGTTTTAACCATTGGAAAGTGCAAATCCTTACACTGTCCTGAATACTATTTCTGGTTTCTAATGCYTTATAAGAAATATCGTAGCTTTCAATAACATGACAGTTTAACACACTGCTAGCCTAAAATTGATGTTTACATTCCTAAATGATAGACAAAAAGTTGTATGTAGGCTACAGCTGCACAGTGAAGAAACTCCTAGTTTTTGGGTCATGTGTAAAGGTTGTTCCTAAGGTAGTATGGGCACATGAYATTTTTCACATTGACTTCAAAAATGTAATTTGTCTCTTTACAGATTGGACTTTTGACATTTTGTTGAATGTTGTCRTCACCTGAGTGCATGCCAGAGTGAGCTGCTCATCAGACGTGATAACACCTGATAAATAAATCATAACGGCCATGGGTAGCATGCACAAAATCCGATGTGGTGGTATTGTATTCATGACAYGCAGCTCCATGCACACCTGCATAACGGGGTGTAGCAGAATTTGAAGCAAGACGTTCAGGGCTCAGCCTATGCGGTTTGAGAGTCCTGCAGGGATCCTGATGGTGTAATTGTTTGTATGTGTTAGTATTTTTATGGGAACATGCCAATTACATATAGATTATGCTGAGGATGAAGGGTTATGTAAATTAGCAGAGGAAAAACTTTGTCTTCACACTGAAGGATTTTCAAGTTTTTCAGAATTTGAKGCAAATCAGTTTCCAAAGGGTTGCAGAACACAAAAGAAGCAGTTATTTAGTGTGATGGGGGCGGGGGCTTATAGATGGTCAATGGTCTGACTTTGATAGCGCTTCACACCACAGCCATTCACCCATTCATACACACATTCACACACTAAGCTACAATGTCACCACAGCTGACCACCACCAAGGCAGGTGAAGTGTCTTGTTTAAGGACACAATGRCTTAAACAGGGTTTTAAACTGGCAACCCACTGGTTACAGAACAACTCTTTTCAATATTGTCGCCYCCTTTGCATTACATAATGACTATCTATGACACATGTGTCAAACTCAAGGCCTGCGGGCCACATCTGGCCTGCGGGTCACTCCCGTGTGGCCCACCGGGGGGGATTACACCCCCCCCCCCAAAAAAAAAGTTTTTTTTTCTTTTTTTACTTAACATAAAAATTGTTCCTTATATCAATGGTAAACTTTAAATATATGATTAAATGCAACAAAATAAACTTAAAAGATGAAAGATAATAACAACTGACCTACCCCTGAGCTGTTGGCTTTAAGTAACTGAGCAATTCAGTTGGATAGAACAGTCTGAAAATAAGCTCCTTTAAAGTTTGCATCGACCATAAACTAAATCTGCCACAATGCATAATAGCTACTCACTAGAAACTCATCAGTGAGAAAAGCTTCATTAGTTTTACTTTTAATAATATTTCTGTATTTATTTCAGATTTAGTCAGTCGTACACTTAGTTCTTATCAGTGTTTAAAAGAGGACGTGTTAAAACTCTGTTTAGTTAAAGTTAAACATGAAACRTCAAAGTTCATTACAACTGGCCCTTTGAGGGCCACCATAACGCTCATGTGACCCTCAGTGAAAATGAGTTTGACACCCCTGATCTATAGTATCAAATGTTGCTTGAACCCCAGCTTCAGAAGAACCCAGTGGGRAAAAAATTACTTTTGAGGTGATTGCACTAAAAGTATGCAGAAACTAAAAACAAAAGAAGTGTTCTGTAATTAAGACAAGAAATATTTAGAAATGATGTCATGGATATTTTGGGGCTTGTGTGTGTCACAACTCGAACAGCCTCACAGAAAAYTGTTTTTAGCTTGTCAGTGAGACAGTTGCTAATGGTTGTACCAATAATCATTCCTCTCTAATTAACCTTTGTGTTCGATGGGAGACTCGGAGCTGAAGTCGTCATCAGTTTTATTTTAAACTCTCTGGTGGAGTTCTTCCAGGAAAAAAAAACTTTTGAAATTGATTAATTTAGGAAGGTTTAATAAAAAAAACTGGACAAAATCAGCACGTTAAATTCTGGGAAAACTTTGCAGGACAATAAAATGAAGTTGACACCACTTTTAAAAAAGCTAACAATAAATTGTGTATGATTTTTAGTAAAAAAAAAACACAAATCTAAAACTATTTTCATATTTATTTTGTATTTGTGTGATAACTCCCATATAAAGTTCATTATTAAGTATTTTTAAAAACATGAATAATTTRAATTAAACAGTACTGCTGAGCAACACGTGATGTTTTAATCACAAGCTTCATTTGAACAATAAATAATGTGACATTTTCTCAGGAGTAGGGGTGGAGACTTGTGCACGTAATCCATACAATTTAGGCCATCCATCTTGACATCAGTCGAATTACCTCAGTGGACACAGTCTACGTCCTCCGAGCATTAGCCTCAAGTCTTGTTAGTAGTGCAGAAGGAGTCCGTGGCAAATGGAGCGCCTGGTATTGACGAGGCCTGTCATTACCTTTCTCTGGAAATCAGCCAAAGTGCTTTGTCTCCCTCAGAGACCCTCCATCACCTCCAACATGCCTATTTATGGGCCAGAGTAATGACCCTGAGGGGTGGAGAGAGTCAGACTGAGGCAGAGAAGGAGAAAAATAAAAGGTGACAGTCAGGTAGACGGAGGGTTGACAGTCACCACTGTCCACTTCACTGAAACAGTGGCTGTCAGTAAATGTGCTGTGGGTTGGTTACGCAAGAAGGTGACTCAACAGTTATTAACTTGGGTAAGAGCGATACCACTTACCTTACAAGCTAGCTTTGTCAGTGTGAGTTTTACAGTTCCAGAGCTGCAGCCGTATCAAAGCAAACCAAGGCTTTTCCTTTAACTCTGACCAGAGAGTTTCTGAACATCAGAGTCAAGCAACAACTCGTGTGTGCTAAAGGCATGCTCGGTCCAGAAATCACAGCAAATGCATCCGCCTTTCAAATCTCCAAGTGTCCAAAACAAAAGAAATGATGCCCCACTCAGCATTGAACTGTCAGGTTTGTCTCTGACTTGAAAACAATCAGAAATGGCAGATTCTGTCCACTGACAGGCTTACAATTCGTTGATGTTTCTTTGTGACAGAAGGCGATAAACAAATGATTCATCCAGTTGCTAAAACATTTTTTTAAATGTCTCTTTGCAATTGTTTCCTGCTGAAACGTGCCAGGTGGTTTGTGTAGAGGACAGGGCGATACTTTTTCTTTATTTTACTACTTTTGGATGTATTGATTTGATTTTCATTACTTTAGCTAATATACAGGATGTTCAATCAAAAGCAGAGGGCTCACCTCTCTTGCATTGTCAAATAAAAAAAATCTGGAATAAAAGAGTTTATCATGTTTATTACTTTGATCCAACTTACAAACAAAAATGTTTCATGACCATGCACTGTAAAGTGTGTTAATAAAGAGCTTGAATTATACAAATGACATGTTTCAGGTAGTTCAGTTGCATTGATTAAATAATAAATTCTACTTTTGCTTTTTCCATCTTTTTTACACCCTTAAACCTATTTTTATGACACTATTTAAAAGTGGCACATTATTAGAGAAACATGCAAAATTATTGCCCTACAACCTAAAAGTTAAATTGCTAAAGAAAACACGGTGATCAGAAGTATATAAAGATCCCTGTCCTAGCAAAAACAGTTAACGTTTGTAATCCATACTAAAACTTTGTATGTATTGATTTATTTTACTTTCCAATCGGAGCTCCTTTTAAAAAAAAATAAAGTTTAAATTCTGGAGCTCAATACTTGACGTTATTGGTCGAAGCAATCAGCCAACGTGGTTAGAGACTCAAATGATTTAAAGATATTATGCTGATGAAGACAGAAATCTAGTGGCCAACTGGAGCAACTACATGGAAAACTTTAAAATCCAAGTTCTTATTTTGAAGTGAAGATAGCTTCCTGTTCTCCGTGCTTTCCTTTCCCATCACAAATCAAATCCGTCATGTACCCAGAATGCATCACTTCGCTTTTCCAATAAACAGTTTTAAAATTACTTTATTGATGCTTCTTCAATGAAAAATCTACAACAAACAAAAGAAAAAGACAAAGAAGCAGCCRAACTAGCAATCCTCAACAACTTTTTAATTTTTATACCAGGAGCTAAAGGTCTGTTTCAGGAACTCACATCCCCAGCAATTGGCAGTTGTAGGAATAAGCTGTAAAATGTATCATACACCACTCGTTGACAGTGTTGTCCATATATAGTACATGAATAATAGCCAGCTAATAAGTGTCAAAATGAACTTGCACTTTAAAATTGGTTTCTGCTAGTTTTTTTATGGTCTAAGCACTTTTGAGGTTGTGGACCTAAATATTTACACAATCTCTTTAGAAATTGCAGAGCTACTTTTTGGATTAGTGCTGCCCACCACTGCCARTTGTCTTAAAATTGTTCTGCAAATCAGTTTCTTGGAAGTTTACAACCCTGGGTTACATTAGAAAAGTTGATTTTTTTTTTATTTTATCTTTTAGGTATTTGCTAAATTTACCCACAGCTGCAATACAAGTGACAAAAAAAAAAAAATCAGGATTACACATTTTACCTGACAGACAATTTTCACATTTCAAGCTGCCGCAGACTGCGGTGCATTAGGGAACACGAGTTTAGATCAGGACATTTCAGTCTTTCAGTCAGCAGCAGAGGCAGCTGAACAAAAAGGTTCAKAACATGCATATTCTTTTTAGGTCAGCTTTAAATAAAGAAAAAAAACTTATGAAAACTTTATGAAATATTCATTTTGCTCAGTTCTGTAAAAATCTGCTTTAATTATTCAGGCCTCCTAAGAAATCTTTGATTTTTCATCCAAAAAACAATCTTATTTACTGTTTAATGCTGCACTACTTTCAAGTCCTTGGTCTCCTTTTCACCTCTTTTATAGACTTCCTTCCAAAAACTAAAATCAAATCAGTACTAACATTGCTATGTTTTGATTATCAAACTGAAWATAAAAAGAAAATTAAGACATATTGCCCACATTTTTATTGATTTTAATATGATAAGAGTACATTACATTTCCATTGTCTCCTCCTTGCTTYCCATCTTGATTCTGCTCCAACATGGGCGTATTTTCTCCATCCTGACAGTCTGCACCTCTGTAGTCCAACATCTCCACGACAGGACTGCGTCTCTGTGGGCCTCACACTAACTGGAGCAGGAAAACGGAGCTTAAATGCATTGGCATGCACTCACAATCTGGAGCGATGCTCAACGAGACGCTGAGCAACAAACACATYGCCAGAGTGGGTCATGGGGAAACTTTTGCTTGGTTTCCCGCAAAAGAGGATTTGTGTTGTTGTTGTTTTTACTCCACCCCAGAAGAAGCAGACTCGTCTTGGCAGCGCCTGCAAAGAGCCTGATTTATTTCCTCCCATGTGAAGTCTTGTACCCTTATATATCTGGGAGGGAGAGGCAGGTGACACTTTTGCAGCCAGGCTTCCATGTTGGTACAAGAAGAAACTGGCTAACTGAGTGTGTTGGAAGAAGAAAAAAAAACAAAAGTGGGAGCTGAATGAGCAAATGCACGAACCTCATCGTCTTTTCACCATTTCACCRACTCACCATTAAAGGAACCTCATTAAGGGAGACTCGCTCAGTTGTTTTCCTTTGTGTTTAAATCTTGAAAAGCCACAGCTGAATGGTAATGTGGAAGCTCTGCTGCGGCCTTGATCACCTGACCTGACCGCTCAGCAGAAAACTGCAGACAGGACTGTTTTCTAAATGCTTACTTGCTCTACACCTTTATTTCGATCAGACCCTCCACTTGAGAGGCTTCTGTATTATTAGTTTGTTTTTTTTTCTTCACCAAGCTTGATTAAATGCCTCTGCTCTTTCTAAACCTTATTGCCTCATTAAAAAAGTCCCCCTCTCTAGCTGTAGCAGGTCTTCTCAGTGTGGAGGAAAATTTGCTCAACAACAGACAAAGAGAGGGCGGCATATTTGTTTGATCCTTGAAGATTAAAGGGTACAGGAAATAAAAAAAGAAAAAAGAGGAAGGGAAATGAAGAACAGTGTAGGTTCACCTTAAAGAGTCTTCAGAACGAGCCAGCAACCAAACCTCTTGCTCTAATGGCTTCACTCCTTCAAACCCTCWGAGCTCTGCTTGTGTTTGCTCCCGTCATGATGCTCGGGCCTCATTATCTCTTTGTGGGGGCAGCTGTTGAGCAGTGTGTATCAGCCGCACAGACGGTCGATATTCACCRTATTTCAGAACGAACGCTGTTGCAGCTCCACGCTCCGCTGCAGTGCTGAGGCTGAATTACTGTCTCACTGTCATGTACGCTTTTTGAAATTCACTAACTTGTCTTCCTTCCCTCCTCCCCCCGTCCCTTTCTCTGTTTCTCATTTTGTCTCTCTCTTCCGGCTAGATGAGGTCGACCCGGAAAGTTTCGGTGTGGCCCGTGGCCTTTGTGGGCGGCCTGAGATACGAGTCCCCCAAGGTGAACGCAGCCGGGAAGGTCTACGGCTGGAAGACGGTGTTCGACCCCCACCGGCCCTTCGCCATCGACATGGCCGGCTTCGCCATCAACCTGAGGCTCATCCTCTTCAAGCCGCAGGCGTATTTTAAGCTCCGCGGGGTGAAGGGAGGCTACCAGGAGAGTAGTTTGCTCCGGGAGCTTGTAACACTCAATGACCTGGAGCCAAAAGCAGCCAACTGCACCAAGGTAATTTCCTTTTTTTTAAAAAAGATGACCCAAAACTGGAAAATACTTTTTTTAAAACAGCACATATAGGCAAAGAGGCAGGGACGTTTTTGTTTGTTATTCATAAATACATTTTAGTTAACACAGTCATGTTATTATAGAAAAACATACATTTTAAAATGGGGTAGCTCAAAAACAGCAAATTTATCATTTAAGTTTTASCTATACATTTAGGGGACTTTAAACCACAAATGTGATGTGGTAACATTGCAGTAAACACTGTTAGACACAMAATAACAAGAAATAGAAGATCTCCAATAAAAAAAGAAGGAAGCTTCTAAACGACTTTGTTAGGAGGAATAAAAAAATAAAAAMGGTTTTACTGTATTTATCTTAACATGCTTATCAATAATCCAAAATATAGATTTTTAGAGGTTTTTTGTGCTTTTTCCAAGTCTAATGGGTTGCTGTCTCTATCTTCATATTTATTGATTAACTTTAGCCCATGCTTTACAGCTGGGTGCAGTTTTCTTTTCATTAGAAACATTAATTGAAACAGACTTGATGTAAATTTAACATTGAGGAAAATATTTATTGAACCCAGGACTTTCTTGCTGTGAGGGATCGGTGCTAACCACTGAGCCATCCTGCTGACGACCTTATGTTTGTATTTCATCTGTGATCTCTGTGTCCAACAACCATACRTGACCAAACCTATAAATCACCCTCTGACAACCCAATGAGGCCCAATTTAAATGCTCTAAACCGGTTGTTGGAACGTCTAATCAGCATTATTTTCTGCCTTGCATCTTTTCAAACACGTACCATTGACAGTTTGACATTATTTAAACAAATACAGCTAATGACKTTCTAATTTAATGCTTCTCACAAACAAAGAATCATTAAAGGGCTAAATTTTATTCTCTAAAAAGATACATAGATCCTGAGCTACAATGCTTTATAGGGACGTATTAAAAATAATTACCACTTTTATCAGCTTGTGATTAAAGTTTATTTCTAATGATTGCTATCCAATTAACAAATTTCTTATTCTKAGTTTAAGTGGTAGATTATGTAACGTAGATAATCTAGGAAAGATTTTGTTAGTATAGATCCATTCTCTCCTCAGCGACACTCTCCAGCTCCTCCTGAAGAAAACCAGGGTGTTCCCAGGTCAGACAGGAAATAATCTCTCTGACAGGATTTGGGTCTGCCCAGGGGTCTCCTCCTAGTGGGAAAAGCCTTATAAACCTCTACATGGTTTCTAATCAGACTCCTGAACCACCTCAGTGTTTCCTTATGATCTGTCAGCTGTATAAACCTACAACGTTGGTTTATATGTCAGAAAATTACACACAGAACAGAGACTTCAGCTTCAGCTGTGTCCCAACTCAGGGGTTCCGACCCACGTAGCCCACAACCATAAAGGTAGACTGCAAACATAACTGCTATGAAAGGACGCCGTCTGGTCAACGAATGCATTGGTGATACGTTTTACATCACGTGCCTTCAGTTGGAACATGTATTCACACGCCTTTTTACTTAAAGTATAACAAAAAAAATGTAGCAAATTTWAAAAAAAAGGTTACACGCAAATAAATAAAAAACATTAATAATCTGAGTTTAGTGCCAGTGTCAGTGCTTGTAATTGCATTTGATTTAACATTTGATTGCAATTACTAAAACATACATCTAAAAACAAATTCTTTATGAATTTCCAAACTCTGACATAAAAAATACAAATAAATAAATAAATAACTCTGCTGTCTTTATTTGTTTGTGTTTAGTTTGCTGATAGTGCAATGAATCCTGGGATACTCTGATGCAGCCTACATTTCTGGGGTTCTGTTGGCCGCATTTGTTGGATGCATGGGTAGGCGCCTACGACTGAGACATCCTGTGATGCAGTGACGTAAGCGGAAGTGAAATGCGCCCTACATGGTCTGCAGCCTCTGGCTGTGTCCAAAACGACAGGCTGGGTCCTCCGGAGGACCCAGACTCCCCGGTCTCGGCGGGCCGGGTCCTTGGTAGACCGGGAAGACCGGAAAAAAAGAGGCTGTGGATTTGGACGGTCTAGCCTCCCCTCCTTACCCCAGCATACGTCTTGTCACCTAGCAACTGTGACGACGCAAAACAAGCAAACTTAAATCAAAACTAGAAAAATATCAATACATTAGCATTAATAATATCACAAAACTATAAAATTAACTTAAAAGTATAATTTGAAGAACTAATTGACCCGCTGTAGGTTCATGTTTATTTCACGTTTTTTATGACGAAAAAATAATAATTAAAAACATGTCCATACAAATGATAAAAGTATTAGAATTACAACCGCTATTTTTTTTAAATTTTTAAATCACCATATTTTTATTTAAAATGTATTCTTTTCTCTCGCTTCGTCCGCCATTACTAGCTTAAAAAAATCTCCGGTCGGGCCGCAATGCATTATGGGATACGCTGGGCCGGGAAGGATCCATCGGACCTGTCCTTCGATTCGGGGAAAAAGAAGGACGTATTTGTCGGACGCATCGGAGGAGTCTTCCGTTTTGGACGTCCTTCGTCGCGGCGCTGTGACGTATGCGGCCGACAAATTCGACCTTCGGAGGACCCGTCCTGCCGTTTTGGACACAGCCTCTGAGAAACAGCCTTCCATGCAGGCTTGTAGGCTTCCTCTTTATCAACTTCCCCCAGCAACAACAAACCACACAATGGTTCCCACCCCCATACTTCACATATTACCACCCCTTACTTAGGTGCGTCAGCTCTACTTCGAGCTCGCTGCAGATGATGGAGCTTCTCACTGTATCTCTAACTCCAGGTCCAGCCAATTAATGGAGGAGGCTCATTTCATTCATGTGTATCTGAGATCATGTTTTTGGTCCAGATTCACACATTATGACCGAACATAGACGAACCAGTAAAACATGCCACAACATATCGGAGCATTACCCTCATTACTGCAAATAAAACCCTGATTTGAGGTCTCTTCATCTTGTTCTATCCTACTATCACTCGTGAACACAACTCCCAGATATTCAAGCTAAGAGTCACCGCCAACCCACTCAGAGGAGCCGACTGGATGCTTCACATTTGGCTACAAAACACTCAAGTGCAGCCTGAAAGTCGAGGCTTGAACAGAAACACTTCAGGCTGCTTACTTAACAAAGCCTTTTGAAGAAAAACAGTTAAAATTTCAGTTTTCATCGCCTTGTCGCAGAAATGTTAAACGTCGTTGAATACATTTTTCTCCCCGCCTGCATTACTTTGGCAACGAAGTTCTCTCCGTGCCACTTCCACCACTCCTGCTCACGGCTGTCAGTCTGGTTTACGTCTCTAAGCCTCTCTCTGGGCAGGGAAGAGTCAGCCAGAGGGCTTCAGTGAGCCAACATCCTCTCCACGAGCACTCTCACACAGACAAAAAGAGAGGGAGAGAGAGAGAGAGAGAGAGAAACGGGAAGAGAAAGGAAGGGAAAGAAATGTACTTTCAGCCAGGTTTTTATCCCGCACCTCCCCTCCCCTCTGAGCCCCCCC